GGAGGAGGAAAACAAGAAGAAGACCCTCTACATTGTTTCGAATAACAAACACACTAGTGCTTAGGATATTCAAAGACTGTACACATTTTTGTGCTTAACTATAGCTTTTCAAACCAAAAGTTTCCTCAGTCAATCATATGTGCGTGTGGTACATGGTGACTATTTTGCAACCTGCTTTCCTTCAGAAAACAATGACTACAGGTAATGCCACAATATATATAATGGCTGATAGATCTGGGAATGATAGTGCAAAGCCAGCTTCGGCAGAAAAGTCCATGAGTCTCTTACCTCTAATTAACTACCAAAAAGCCAGAAGTTGAGCTGTGGTTCAAGTAGTAGAACACTAGCCTGAACAAAAGAAAGCTCAGGGACAGTGTCCAGGCCCTGAGTTCAAGCTCCAGGACTGGCATGAAAATTTAAAAAAAGAAAAACTCAACTGTAAAATGGATCTCCAAGGTCATAGTCTACCAGGGACTTTGTTATTATTATATGCTTTTAAACTTGAAGCCAACAAGAGAATTTATGAAGAAATAATTTGAAAGGAGCTACAGGGGTAAGGATGAGCTATTTTTTTTTCTATAAGACTGTATGTGCCTATGTAAGAGTCTCTGTCTCTGTCTTTGTCTCTCTCTGTCTCTCTCTGTCTCTGTCTCTCTCTGTCTGTCTGTCTGTCTGTCTGTCTCTCTCTCTCTCTCTCTCTCTCACACACACACACACACACACACACACAGAGTGTGTATTTGTTGAATTCTAGATAGTCCTAAAACTATGCACTAGCCCCAAACCAACACACTATAAAACATAATGAATGTCGTGGCAATTCATGAACTGCTTTGGGCTTAAAGTCTTGCAGGCTTCAGGTAAAAAAAGAAAGCACTTCATTCATAATTGCAACTCAAAGGGTAGGCAGACCCCACTAGACATGAACAAGGTCATTGTTACCACACCCACACCTTAACTGCAGCAATGATAGGAATGGACTCTTATCTGTGGCTATGTCTGACAATCTGGAACCAAGTTCAATAAAGGTGATTCACAGGCCAGGAACTCTGGACTGAATCTCTCCTACACAGTCTACACAAATACAGTGTTAATTAGTGACAGGAGACTGGCAAGGTACTCAGCCTCTTGGAAGCAATGGCGATGAGATATCCAAGGGCTATTCCTAAAAATGGTGGACAGACAATGCATTCAGTCCAGCCATGTGGCACTTAAGATTCAATGTCCTGGCTATGCAGAATGCAACTTCATGGTGCTGAGTAAATCATTTTCTGCATGCCTCCGTCTCACCATCAATAAAATGGGGCAGAAGGGGCAGAGAGAGGGAGAATATGATTTGATAATCCAGTATATTATTTTATCCCTAGAAAAATTCAAGAACAAAACCAAAAACAAATGAAACAAAACCGGGGACATTTTAGAAAGGTGAGCAAAGTCTTTTGCTGAGGTCTAGCAAATATGCCAAAATACATTTGGGCTACCTTCCTCGGACTACGTTGTAATGAGAAAGGGGTTCAGAATGTATCTTTGAACAAGAGAAAATGGAGCTTTTTGATGGTATCAGCTTGATTAACCGTAAGCAGTTCACAGTAAGGTAAGGAGGTACATTTTGGCGGAAGCCACCATTGCATTTGATGTATTCTTAACTCAGCCACGAGGCAGGCTTTCCAGCCATGTTATCTGCCCCCACATCTCGACCTAATTTAACAAGTTGCCATGGGAGCCCAGTGCAGGTTGATGCAATTTTCTTATCTCCGGAGGAAGAATGTAACTGTGCAAGAGAATGTGAAAATTCAGTTTCTAGCTGATTTCCACACTTACAGTACAGTAACTAAGATATCCTACAAAGAAGGAAAATAAAATGTTTACCCTTTCTTAGGTGGTATGGGCAGAAAACTGGGCTCCCAGGAAAAGGCAGAAAGAATACACTTTTGCTTGTGCTGTGAATCTAAACAAGCCAAATGTTCAGGACATAAAGATACAGGGTACTTCTACTATGAGGCCACAAATATTCTCCAGTGACAGAATTTTAAGAGAACAGATAGCAGACAAGGGATAACCAGAGACAGAAATTAGAGATGACTCTGTGTGCGTGCATGTATGTGTGTGCGTGTGTGTGTGTGTGTGTGTGTGTGTGTGTGTGTGGTGTGTGTGTGTGTGTATGTGTGTGTGTGTGTGCGCCTGCGCACGCCAGTACTGGAGCTTGAACTAACTCAAGGCCTGGGAGGTATTCCTGAGCTTTTTGCTCAAGGCTTGTACTCTACCACTTGAGCCACAGCTCCACTTCGGGCTTTTTGATGATTAATTGGAGATAAAGAGCCTCATGCACTGCCCCGGCTGGCTTTGAACCACGATCCTCAGGTCACAGCCTCCTGAGTAGCTAGGATTACAGGCGTGAGCCACCAGCGCCCGGCAAGAATGGCTGAATTCTATACCCTCTCCATCCCCATATTTGCCAAGAGAAGGAGCCATGAGTACAGCATCATGGAACTACCACATAAGATCAGAAGGTAGGGCAGGCAAGGAGGGTTCACCAGAAATAGACTACATGGAAAAAGTCACCAAAATGGGGGGTGCTACCACACCCTAACAAATCCCAAACCTCATCTAGAGCAAAGCAATAAGGCATCTAGTTCAAGCCCAAGACCACGTGCAACAAACTCAGCAAGACAGTAAGCCCTCAAGGGCAACCCTCTTATCTATACGCGGTCTGTACTTGTTGACTTAAGTGATCGAGCAGTTGGTTTTTATTCTCTCTCTGTCTAACACAATGTCTAGCACTCATGTGTTTAATGAAGTGATTTGGTTCAATTAAGTTTTCAAATATCTCTTACTGTCAAGATAAGGATGAACACTTCTACTTCACTAAAAGTAGAAAAGGGTACAAGATAAATTTGCCTAAAATCATCCAGTGTGTTAGAGCTGGGAGGGCGCACAGAGGACTTCTGTTTTCTGGGCTGTGGTTCTCACCACCTTTTGAACTTGAAAACTTAAAAGCCCTAATCACAAAAAAAGAAACAAGAGAATGAGATGATTTTAACTGTCTATTTTAATATCCAAAGGACTACTTCTTTAAGCCATGTAAGAGAGGATCACTCTCCCTTCTCTTCCACTCATTGTTTTAATCTCTTATCCCAGGAGAAACAGAAGGAAGAACAACAGAAGGAAGAAGAAAGGAAGAGAAAAAAGGGAGAGAAGGAGGGAGGCAGGGAGCAGGGAGGCAGGGAAGGAAAGAAGGAAGGAAGGAAGGAAGGGAGGGAGGGAGGGAGGGAGGGAGGGAGGGAGGGAGGGAGGGAAGAAATAAATACACAATATCCATTTAGGATGCAGTCAATGATTTTAAGAGCTCAGGCTTTTTCTTCCCAATTCAATAGTCCTATTCCCCCTCCCACTTTCTCCTGGCATTCAACTAGAATCTTAGTCTTAACTAGAGGGCCCAGTTCTCTTGAACATCCAGAGAAGCTCTTCACATATATCTTCTCCTTCCAGATGTCTTTAATGAAAATGGGTATAAACTTTGCAGTATACTTTCTCAGAGATGAGAAAAGACTCCCTTAAAATACAGACAATCCCTACCTATTGATCATATTCCAGAGAAGAGCATGGAATGTAGGAACTTGAAGTTCTTTTTATGGCTAATGGCTATACCTAACCTTTGGTGCTACCCAAAGTACCAATTTCAAAACAAAGACATAATTCTTAAGCACCATTCATGTAATAAACAGCACTATGGGCTTTTGATCTTTGGAGGGAAAATCTTTTTTTTTCCTAAGTATTTGAGCTTTGTTCTCAAGTCAATTGGTTTTCCTTGACAAAATAAAGAAAAATCCTGAGATGTCCCTGAACACAATAAAACCTAGCACACTCTTTAGATCAGAATGATAGGTCAATAAAACCCAGACTTTGTTGTTCATTTTCCTTCACACATGGTCAGGGTAGAGGATATTAAGAAAGAGTAGAGGCCCAGACTTCTGAGCTTAAAAAAACACCTAACACCCTTTGCAAGTTTATAGAAAGGGTCTGATGATTAATATGTTAGTTAATACTCTTTGGATATTTCTTAGATACTCACAAATGTTGTTTTGCTCTATTACTCGATTCTCCCTCAGTGTTTCAATGGGCCCTTCCATTCTCTGAGATCTGTCTTCACTCACTGCTACTCTAGTCCTAGTTTCCTCTTGGAACAAAATCAGTCATAAAACTAAGGTGAGGCCCAGTGCTGGTAGTTCACACCTGTAATCCAAATTACTCAGGGGGCTGAGATCTGAAGATCATGGTTCAAAACCAGCCTCAGCAGAAAAGTACATGAGACCTTTTAGCTCCAATTAACCAGCAAAAACAAAAAATGGAAGTGGAGTTGTGGCTCAAATGGTAAAGCTCCAACCTCGAGCAAAAATAGCCAAGTGAGAGTACAAGATCCTGAGTTCAAGCCCCAGTAATGGCACCAAAGTATTTTTTTAAAGAAAAGTTTCCTCTATAAGGCCAGGATATCTCTGGACTTACTTGGGATACTTTTCTCACATTCAAACAGCAAACCTCATGATAACTAATTTACTATAGCCGACCATGCAGCCATTCAATCATGTTTTTGAGAGAGGCCGTTTCTGGTTTTGTATTTGGAAAGACCTTCCAAGAGCAGGCCAGGAAAAATCCCTGGATGCCAGGCCACTAGACAAGAGTTTCCAGGAACTCCAAATCACCATAGCTCCCTTCCCCCAGATATGGAAAAGATCCAAAAATGTAAGTTTCCTACCACGCTTGGAAATAACCCCTTAGGACAAACTGTTTCTATTTTCTTCCCACCCCTAAAAAAATAATCAATGGCTATTCACAAGCACAGTGTGTTGCGAGACTAGAGACCTCTAAGAGATATCTCCCAACTGCCACCAAAAAGAAAGAATGTGCCCTTTGGTCTCTAGGGGGACATAGTACAGCATTTCCAGTAACCCAGCCTACAGAAGCCGAAGACAGGCTACTTGGGTAGCGGAGAGAGGGCCTACCTGTGTAGCCAGCCAGGGCAGCAGCAGGAATGACAGGCTTGTCCTTGTTGAGGTCAGCACGGTCACGCACATAGTCCTTGAAGGTGCCCTTGGGCTTGTGGTTGGGCAGGGCAGAAGGGTAGTCCTCGGAGTCGAAGCTGTCATAGGACGGAACACGCTGCAGGCTGTTGAAAGATGACTGGCTGCTCCAGGACTGGGTTAGGCGATCACAACTATCGTAGCTCTCTATGCTCTCAAAAGAGTCCTGGCCCCCGAGCTTTCCTGGAGATAAAGGAGGAGAGGTCGGAAGAGGACAGGGGAGGAGGGATTGGGGGAAAAAACAACTGTAAAAACCCTCTGATGGAGGAGAGACTGCTAATCAGATCTGTAGGATGGATCAAAGAAGGAAAGGGGCCCAGGGAAATAGAAGCTTCAGAGATCTTCAATCTCCTCTGAGGAAAGGGGCTGAGCTGCAATCTGAAAAACCCACTGCCATTCTGCTGCCTGACTTACAGTTCCTAGTATAGGTACTCAGGTTCAAGGGCCACTCAGAGCTGCCAGAAAAATAAGGCAGTGTTTAGGACCTCAAGGATTCCAAAGCCAGAAGGAATGGGTGACAAAAATACTTAATACTTTTTAAAAAGAATTCCAAAGCCACAAACTTAATAATTGAACATTATACCTGTTATGGATTTCTGGCTTAATGTATTAGACCCAATGAGGTGATGAACACATCAGAGCAATGTCAGATTGAATTCTTTCCCCATCCCAAGTCAATCAGATGATTTCAAAAGTCAATTTGGCAACAGATTTTGATCATAAGAAGAAAACAGAGTTCCATTAGGCTTTCTTGACCTTGGAACTAACGCATCAGTATTTAAGATTCTGCCATGTACCATTTCAAATGAAATACATATTTTTCCTTTAGACCTTCTCAAATACAAAAGGAAGTCATTGCATGTTTTTTTTTCTAGTATTTTAATGCTCTCATTTTTTTAAACTAAAAGGCCATATTCATTATCCTTTCAAAACATATTATGCATACTTCATTGGGAAAGTATCAACAATTGAAAAATGAAAAACAAAGAAAGAAAAAACAAAAACAGTCAAAAACAAACAAGCTTGTGGCTCACACCTGTAATCCTTGCTACTCAGTAGGCTGAGATCTGAGGATTGAGGTCTGAAGCCAGCCTAGACAGGAAAGTCCATGACACTCTTATTTCCAATTAGCCACCAAAAAGCTGGAAGTGGGAGCTGTGGTACAAGTGGTACAAGTGGTAGAGCAATAACCCTAAGTGAAAAAGCTAAGGGACAGCACCCAGGCAGTGAGTTTAAGCCCCAGTACTAATTGATAAACACACAAAAAGACTGCTGAAAGAGTTAAGGCCCATAGCAATGTCAGAAATCTTTTAATGTGTGAGTTGCTTAAGGCATTCTTAACTGACCACAAGATCATGCAAGTTCATTAATTTCCCAAACCAGGTTATAAACAGCTGTAAGGATTGCACAATGGCATTTGGAGAAATTTCCACTACCAACAATAAGAAAAATATTTTTTAAAAAACATTAAAATAGGAGCTAATAAAAAATATCAGAAGAAAATAAATACAATGAAGAGCGAAGAAGGATCTTAAGAATCTATTTTAAAGTCTATGGTCAGATACTTTTTAGGCAACCTAAGGATTATCTCAATTCAGCCCTTGTCAATGGAAAAAAAGCCCTTGACAGATGGCAATGCAGAAAGACCTATAAATCAATTCTCAGTCGTTCAGGACTGTCCTATCAATAAATTTTACATCCCAGAATATGTACATGTAAAATATTGAGTGTATTCTCTCCTACATACTACTAGGTATTGTTTAAAAACATGAAACTTAAACATAAGCAGGCATGCAAATCAAAAGTAAATACAAAATGCCAGGCAACAGTGGCTCATGGCTATAACCCTCACTAATCAGGAGGCTGAGATCTTAGGATACCAGGTCAAAGCCAGCCTCAAAGACAATTCTGGGAGACTCTTATCTCCAATTAACCAGCAAAAAAAAAAAAAAGGCAGGAAATAAAGATGTGATTCAAGTGCTAAGAGTACCAGACCTTGAAAAAATTAGGAAGAGCAGGAGGCCCTGAGTTCAATCCCTACTACTGGCACCAAAATAAAAACAAAAACATAGAAAAAAAGAGCTGTTCCCCAAATTTATTTTGAATCCCAGATGAAATACACTTAAGACTAATGTACAAATGTACTTGTATCAATGCTGTAAATTGTCTGTACCTCCTATTTCTTCCAGTTCTGCTTACACTACAAAGGTGGACTGTCTATTTCATCTTATTCTCCTCTCTCCAGACACTCAGAGGAAGGTAACCTTCAAAAGAAGGCAAATCAAAGAGCTTTGTGGTGTGGCTGATCCAGCCTACCCATAGGGTCAGATCTTTACCTATTTTATTGCTATTAAAGATGAAGGAGTTGTCCTTTCCAAAAGTCCCATCAAGTGACTCTGGAAAACAGCCCACAAGCAGAGTACCATGCCTCTGTTCAGAAGAACAGAAATTTTCCTGGAATCTTAGAAAAAGGTGTTTGCTTATACCAGCTATTGAGGCCAAAGGTCATTAAATTTCTCTGTGAGATAAAAACATACTAAAGCCTAAGAAAAGAGGATGTACAGCTTAATGAGGAACACATTACCAGGTCAATGCTTATCTTTCCTCAAATGATTCATATCTTTGTTGGCCTTTTTTTTTATTTCTGTTTTTGAGACAGGGTCTCACTATGTAAGCCAGGCTGTGCTGAATTTTGCTATATAGCCCAGGCTGTCTCCTGCAATTCTTCTTCTTTAAATCTCCCAAATGCTAGGATTATAGGCATACACCACTTTGCCTGCTTCTATCAGCCATTTTTATATTTGGATGTGAAGAGATCAGAATTTCCACAAGCAAGACAACTGTCTACCCAAAGAGTCCTAATAATCAAGCATACTAAGCTAGTTCCAACCCTTCTCTGGCAACCTTTCAAACATCAGCAAACACAACTGGATAAGAAATGAGGTTTATGGCAAAAAGACAGCTTTCATTTTAGCTCCACTTTACAATCCTAGAGCTTTCCTCCCCGTATGGGTATTTTCTCCAACAATGGGTTGAATCCAACTGGATTAGATGCTCAGTTATGCTACTATGCTCATATGTGGAATGAAGGGTCCTAGAAGACATCCACTGGGTAGCTTTTCTAAAAATGCCTAAGCAAGATCCGTCTAAAGCTATCCATCAAACAGACCTCAGAGCACTCAGAACAGTAGATGAGTTGGCTCATAGGAACCCACTGAAAATACTAACACAAAGACAGTCCTCCGAGTCCAAGTAAGAGGAGCATAGAAGTACTTTGTATACTATAATGCAGTGTAGAAATACTATGAGCATTAATAAGCAGCTAACAGTAATGCTTTCAGTCTAAACCAATCACACCACCCTCTCGGATTCAATCTACCCTTGGAATCAGTGCTTATAGTGTTTATAGTGCTTCCAGCATCCAGAGAGCAAGCAGAGTTGCACAAAGTAGTCTTCCCTTAAAGGTTTTGTGGCCTAAATTTAGCTTGGAGAGTAGGAAAGTAGATTCAGAGAAAAATACTTTATGTCCCATAGTAAGGGTTGCTTGGGGTTTAATAATCATTAGTTTGATTTTAAAGGGGTTGGGTGGGGAGCAAAACCAAGAAACAAGAGCAAAGAGAGGGAGAAGAGGCAATTATACAAACGCAACGTCAGACGTGATTTTAAAGCAACGTGACAGTAGATCTACCCAGATGTACAACATGATGGCTGAACCCCAAACCCACAACTCAATGTCATACATGTATCCAGAGAAAGCCTGATCAGAAAGTTCCTCTGATGCTTTGACCTGCTTAAGAAGAAACACTCACACTTACTACTTGGGTGCATACATTTAAATAGACACATATCCAAAAATAAAAGACAGAAAGAGGAAGGCAAATCTGGCCCCGCCCATCCCCTTTGGTCTGAAACAAATTTCCAGGGGCCCTAAGAAGGGCCCTTATGGGCTCTGATTTTCAGGGACTTTCCCTGTGCAGGACCTGGTGGTATCCCTGTGCAAAGAATGCTGGGAGAAAGCATGAGCCTCAACATGGGAAGAAGATGAGAATGTGTATTGGCCTATGATACAAACAGGTGATTCATCCAAGCAAACATGTCTTTGGCTCTCTGCAAAATGAAAGGCCACAAAATGGGTACCAGACAGTCAGCCATTGAACAGAAAGAGTGAACTGGCGGGCCCGAGTGACCAAAGAAAAACTTGCCTCAGACTTCTCCTTCCCTGTTCTTCTTCCTATTTATGATTCTTTCCTATTTATCCATCAGAAAAGTTGTAATGTTTATCTTTCCTGAAATTGGCCAGCTCTTCCTAGATAAACAAGCCCCTCCCTTAGAAGAGATTGCATTTTTCTCAGAAACAAGAAGATCAGAACTCGGGAGATGCTTGATCTTAGAAGTTGAGTATATTTTACTTTCCTTCTTATTTTATGCCAGCCAGCTCTATTGTGAAACATTTACTTCACTGCCAGTGAATGTTTTATCACTTTTATAATACCCTTGTCAACAGGAGTATCTGCTTCTGGAAGCTTCTAGCCACCTCTTTTCCCCTGGTCCTCTACCTAATTACACACCTTCACCACACTGTTGATGAGTGATCCCGAATAAACCACTGGTTGACCATCCTGTATCTTCCCAAACCAAAGTCATCACAAGAGGCTAAGGTCCATGAATGAGCAGCAGGGGTCAGCCCAGGTACCAAGCTACCCAGGAGTACCTGGGAGGAATACCAGGATACACACAGATGCCAGATTTCCCCAAGATGGTTATTGAAACCATTTTTTCTTTTATTCTGTCCTCCTCAAGAAAAATCCTCTCTACAAAAATCCAGTGTACTTTTAAAAACTGACCAAATTCAATGAGATTTGTTGTTTGGGTAAAACATTCTACCCAAGTAAGATATGCGACTGTTTATTCAAGTCTATACGCCACCATGAACCAAGAATTCTCTCAGCATGCAGGATATGGCTGAAATACCATGGTCTTAATATCTAGACATTCTTGGATGAGAAGGTTTAGGGCACAGACCTAACACATAAGCAAAATAAATAAAAGGAAGGACCTGAGAAAAACTCATAAAAGTACGTAATCCTTGGAAGCCCAAGAGCTTTTTTTAGAGAAGAGATTTGACCTACCACGACTGGTCCTCCCCATACACATGTTGTCTGGGGTTAAAACTTCTTGCTTGATGGTGAAGTAGTCTGTCTGCAAGGTGTCTGTCTGAAGAGGGTCCCGGAGAATGACTGAGGGGTAATCATTCTCATACTTGAGAGACAGAAGTTCCTCTGAGCTAATGGGATGGAGCGTCTGGTAAGACTCTGTGATGAAGCTGGGCTCTGAGAATTCCGAAGGAGGAACACACTGAGCATGCTCAATACCATAGCCTGCAAACAGAATATTGGTAATTGCAGAGAGGAAAGACTTGGACCTAAACCAAGCAGTACTTTACCAACCGCAATAGCCCCACAATGTGAAATGAGCAGGCTACCTTAGAGACAAAAGGAAAATACGTTAAAAAGTCTTTGGTTTTTACTTTGCTTAGCAACCACAGTCCTTTATAAGATTTTATTTCCCTTTTCTGATTTAATTTCCTCATTTATAAAACACAGTTGATTCCAGTCTTTCCCAGAGTATGGTGGCAGAGCTCTAATGACAGTATATATGGAAAAATGCCTGCCAACATCTGATATCTGATGAACTCTTGATAGACAGTGGTTAATAGTATTGTTGTTATCGGAATTAAAAATTTAATAAAGAAGCTAAAATGAAAACACGTCTGTTTAAGATTACCTTTGAAAACAAGGCCATCAGATAAGAATATTCCAACACTCTACTCTTCCTCTGGTCACCTCTCCAATATATTGGAGTTAGGTTCTATTATTATTATTGTGCATGTGTGCGCTGGTACTGGGGGTTTGAATTCAGGGCCTAGGCACTGTCCCTTAGCTTTTTCAATCAAGGCTGGTGCTCCACTACTTGCTAGCTTTTTGGTGGTTAACTGGAAATAAGAGTCTCACAGACTTCCCTGCCTGAGCTGGCGACAAACCTCCATCTTCAGATCTCAGCTTCCTGAGAAGCTAGGATTACAGGTATGAGCCACTGGTACCTGGCACAGTTAGGTTTTTGTGCTAAAAAGTAGACGGTTCTTTTTTTTTTTTTTTTGTAGTAAAATGTGAAGATGCATGGGACACCTTTAAGGATTTCTGAGGAAATATTGTTATATATAACAGATAAAAGAAAAGAACAAGGTCCCATACTCCAGCCTTCTGATGGCTGCTATAGTGCACAGGATTGATTAAGATCCAAGGCTATCCCTCTGACTTTCTTGTTGAAGATTTATCAGAGAGAGGTAGGAGTGGTGCAGGAACTTTCAGGTTAATAAGGCCTGCACATAAGTTGAACTCTTGTGCTTGGTGAGAATTAATAAAGATAAATCACAAAGAAAAGTCTCTAGTTAAGAAAACATTATTTTCCATAGAATTACCATGAAGGGCACTGAGATCCACTGAGGCACACAGCAGTGGGGGGAAGAGGGGAGACCCTATTATAGAGAGCCAAGAGAGGTGTGAGGTTTGGAGATGGAACTTACTAATGAAGTAATCCGAGGTATAACGGGATTCTGGATAAGTAGGGTTGACTCCATTAACTTGGTACGGTTTCACATCCTCTGTAAGAGACAGTAATGAATGAACTAAAGTCAACATGCACATGCAAGCAACACTTGGCCTGGGAGGATCTTGGAATCAAGGACTGCAATGATCTCAACTCTTTTTTCTAAAAAATCTGCAAGTTCGTCAACTGAATCAGTGTCTGAGTTGCTCCTGACTGGGGCCTTGTCTCTGGATGAGATCACGAGTATGGCTAATTTTACTGTTTCAGTAGCTGCAAAATGGGATGAAATATCTTGGAAAGCAAATCCGTGAGTAATCGCTAAAGGGGGGGGGGGGAAACGGACGACATTCTGCCCTCGTGCCTGATGTCTTTTTCTGCTCTAAGGGTATATTCACATTAGAGATTAGGATCAAAGGCTTGATGATATCTTGGGAGATTACCAAGAATCAACACCCAGCACTTAAAGTGATCAATACAAACACTTCAGAAATACTTCCCAACCTTCAGGCAGGTAGATTTACATATCCTCTACTACTAGCAGACGTCTGATTTTTGCATTGTGTTTTTCTCATTGCTCTCAGAATTCAAGTTCAGGCCCAGACAAGAAGCAAGACACTGGTAAGGTAGCACCAGTGGGTAAACTATGAGGGCATGTTTACCCAAAGAGCAACATAACCAAACTGCTCAGGTGCTCTTCCTTAGGAATACGAAAGGAACAGAGAGGGAAGGGTAACTTCAGATAGAAATGCTTCCCCCTGAGCCATGGTGAGCTCAGGATCCAGTGTTTATTCTGTAATCTAATGAGACAGCCTCTGACTCTTACAGGCTCTGAAGAATTTCACTGAAGAAGGAGGAGGAGGAGGAGCAGGAGGAGCAGGAGGAGCAGGAGGAGGAGGAGGAAGAAGAAGAGGAAGAGGAAGAAGAAGAGGAAGAAGGAAAAGGAGCAGGAGAAGGAGGAGGAAGAAAAAGAGGAAGAGGAAGAGGGAGAAGGAGAAGGAGAAGAGGAGGAGGAGGAGGAGCAGGAGCAGGAGGAGGAGGAGAAGAAGAGGAAGAGGAAGAAGGAGAAGGAGAAGGAGAAGGAGAAGAGAAGGAGGAGGAGGAGGAGGAGGAGGAGGAAGAGGAGGAGGAGGAGCAGCTGCTGATATAAAGAGAGTATGTTGGTTTGGGGTTTTCCTCAGGTATTTGATAGCCTGCTTAGAGCAAGGGTTGATGGGAAGACATGTCTATACCTGCACAAAACAAAAAAAGAAAAAAGAAAAATAGTTCCCAGTTGAGATAAAATGATTAAACTGCTGTAGCAGCTTATCAGATTATAACATCCCCTGTACCTTTAACCTTCAACCCCACCCCAATCAGCTATGTTCTTTGGGTGCCCTGTTGCTTTGGATTAATTACAGAACAGAGGCTGTACCCTGGGTGCAGAAATCTTACTCCTCTCTTCAAGTATGTGAATATGAACAGAGAGGGTTTTTACTGCATCTCACAGGAGAACACTGGGCAGGATGGTCTTCCTTTTGTTTAAAAACTTACTTGATTACATTCTAATTCACTTAAACTCCCTTATGCTGTTTTCTTTGTGGAAAGGTAAGTTGGACCTGTCTTAGAGCCAAAAGCACCCAAAGAGACCACAGTATCAGAAGAAAAACACAGGGCAGGAAGCTACATTTCAAAGGATATTAAGAAAGAAAGAGAAATTAAATGAAAAAAACATTCAAGGAAATGAATGATGATAACTGAGAAAATCAGCTAACCTGACCCTCATTTTACAGACAAGGATTCCTTGCCTTGCCTGTTTCACAGGGGTTCTTTTTTTGCATCTTTTTTATTGTTATTATATAAAGGTGACGTACAAAGGGCTTTCAGCAACGTAAGTTAGATAGAGTACATTTCTTTTTACACAATGTCACCCCTTTCCTCCCAGGGTTACTTTGAGGATCCAAACAGCAAATGTAAAGCACTTTGGAAACAAGGAGACATTGGAAGAATATTAGCTCTGCCTTGTGATCAGGGGTAAGCTGATCCTGACCCCCCAATACGGAACAACTCTGTGATGCCCAACAGAGGGAAATATTATAGTAGTCAAATATGTCTGGGTTGCACGGTCAGCTTTTGTGTTTAGAAGTCAGCAGATACATTAGACAAGTAAGGAACCTGACATAGCTTTTGCCCTGTAAACAAGCCACTCATGTCAACACCAAGGAGTGGGTGTGGGTGCAGTTACACAGTGAACACGCCCATAGACTGAGGAAGACAGAGCTGCCTGCCAGCCCCAGAAGATTCACCTAGTTTATCACTGTGTTCATTTATTTTTCATTGTCATTGAGAAGCAGGCCCCTGCTGTGCCCGGAGGAATCAAAGGTGGGTCTCTCTTTAGGAGCACTGCAGTGTGGAGAACATTCTTCAACAAAGGAAGGTTATTCTATGGACTCAAAGTGCTAATCCTGAGCTTTGTGCCCACCCCTTCCTCTCCCCTCTCCTGTCTGAGCCAGGCCTGGAGCTAGTGACCACAGGGAAAGGGTGGGCCTGGGTTACAGAGGGCAGCGGGCTTCTAGGCTTACAGTCAGCTGTGGGGCAACTGCTGACTGCTGGTAACTGAAATTTATTTTAAGAAGAAATTTAGAAAAATAAGCGCCAAAACACCCAAGTTTACCGCCTGCTGCTGTTTCTATACTCAGCCAGGACTGTGGGACGTGAGTCACTTGGTCCAAAAAGGTTGGAGCAGGCCGGTAGGGAAGGCCGTGTCATTACAAGGTTGCAACACCGCGTCCTCATGTGACCCCAGTCTCTGCTCCAGATGGAAAAGAGATTCTGCACTGCAGCCCCTCCAGTCCAGTTTAGTGGGCAGAGAAGGCTAACATATTAATAAGCTCTGAGCTGCTAAGCTTCTCCCTGCCTATCGCCAAGTGTTTCATAGCCATAGATCAAGGGAGTGTCTATTACCAGGCGTGATATGGAACAGGGACAACACTGTTCTTGAGCATGGTTCAGTCAAAAAGAAAAAAATCACAGATGTAAGAAGATGGGTTAGATCACAAGAAACGACAAGAGTACAATCGATCGTGCTAAACACTAAAAACGCTGAAACCCTATTACAAAGAAGAAAAAGGACCAACAGATAACTGAGCATCTACTGTTTATCAAGCATTACACGACACAGGTATCCCTGAAGACCATCTATGCTATGATTGAACCCCTGCAGACAATGGCATTAACAGCCCTCCAACTGGGTCAGTCCCCCCTACCTACTCTAACAACTCCAACCTTCCTCTCCCCTTCCCTCCCCATTGTTTTCACACGTTTACCTTTCTGCAGAATCTCTAGATGCTCCCATAAGATGTCACCAACAAAGTCTGGAGCCAGCTCCAGGAAGCAGTCTTTACCCAGGCCGCACAAAGCTGCTCCGCTCATACAGAACTTCTGGAAATCTACACCTTTCAGGCTGAACTCATTCACAGCCCACATCACCCAATCCCGAACATGGGTTTCCGTCCACTGTCGGGGATCTAAAGAAAAAGATCAAATAAAAGGGCTGTGCATCAGACTCAGAAGAAAACACAGAAGGACCCGAATGTCACCAAAGACCCTTCCAGCCCCACAGAGCTGGGCAGTACCAGCCTAGGACTACTGTCCTAGATTCTTCTTCTCCACCCTCAACATCCCACCTTTTCTATTTTGCCCATGTGGAGGGACTAGAATCAGCCAGACTGCAATGCAAGAATAGTCCCTGCCCTCTACTGAGGCAAACATTTCCATGAATCTCCTGTCTCCTTGCCTTATTTCCATTAGACTTTCTTAAAAGCCTTAGTGAATGGAAGATGGCTTAATAACAGTAATAACAAAGCAGTGATTTCTACAGACTGCAATGCCTCCCTCAGCTCTCAACCCTTAGGTATGCTTGGGGACCAATCATTTTTCCCAATTACTTTTATCTCAGCCAATTGTGCTCAGTAATAACTGTAGTAATTAGCAATGATAAGTCATTCAAATGGTACCCGGTAATGTCATTATTAGGTGCCTGTATTATACTAGATATCCTACAAGTCTCTTCATATAAGAGGCCCTGCTTAGTGTAGCACTGTAGCACATACAACGTGTATTCTTCACGTGGCACCTGAGCTTTCACACACCACACCCACAAATGGCACTATAAGAATTCAGATGACAACTGCTTGCAGTGCCCATGTCACCAATGTGCCATAGTACCCACTTAACCCAGCAGAATACCGCATGAGATGCTGGAAAACCCAATGGTCAGAAGTTACTTTATTTTACCTGTGATCTTCCAAGGGTATTTGGTATTGCTGTTCACCAAGGTTTATGGGAAAAGTGGAAGCATGGGAAAGGTATATGGATAGATTCAAAGAATCCATGCAATATTCACAGAATCTACCTTAAGCTTGGGTTTGACTAGGCTGGAAGCCTTTCATCTAGCAGTAGAAGTGGTCTGATCTAAAGAGAGCCTTCTATTTTCCCAACAGGAAAGTACCTCTGCTCTCAATTGTCCACAAAATGTTACTTAGTAAACTTCTCCACCCAAGTCTTCTATCTTTCAATAAATGCTTTCAAAACCAAAAGAACAACTACATATTTATACACAGAAGAGAAAAATCAATCAGTAAATCCCAAGGAATGTGGTTCACTGAGTACACCCAATGGCAGCCCAGAGTGATCCTGAAATAAGGTTTACCATTTTTTTTCCTGCAGTTTGAAACCATTTAAGGAGCTTAAAAAAATACAGATGCACTAGGTGCCAATGGCTCACCACTATAATACTATTTACTCATGAGATTGATATCTGAGGACTGCAGTTCCAAAGCCAGACAGAAAAGTCCATGATACTGTTATCTTCAATTAGCCACCAAAAAGCTAAAAGTGGAACTGCGACTCAAGTAGTAGTATCAGCATTGAGAGAGAAAAAAAGCTGAGGGATAGCACCTAGGCCCTGAGTTCAAGTTCTAGTACCAGCATACACACAAAAATAATAATATAAATTCCACCAAAGGTTCAGATTGAGTTAGTGCAACACAGGGCCTAGCCTTCAAAGTTTTCAATGATTTAGAAGGGATCTAAATGTGCAAATAGGCTTGGAAACTATTGTCCTAAGAGCAAGATGCAGTGACAAGCCCAGGTGATGGTGGAATATTAGTCCATGAATCTGTTCTAACCAACATCTGTAACAACCCATTACTACTGATTCGCACGTGGTTATTCTAATCGCTGCCTTACACCGGGTCTGTAAAGGAGCCTGCTTGAAGAACTGCCCAACAGTGTCTCTTTTTCCAGCTATAACAACATACCTTTGGGGATTCCCAGTCGTTGCTGCTCTTTTGTGAAACCACTGAACGTAGCTTTTAATGCTTGAGACATCATCTCTTTGCTGCTTGGAGTTAGTAGTGGGACATCTGCGCATTCCATGTCTGTAAGGTAAAAAAGAAGTATATGAATAACTGAAATCAAGTGGTAATTAACTACTCATAAAATGTAAGATATGGATACAACGAAGGTGGCAACTGAGAAATTACCATGTTCACATCCTCATCAGAACAGATAAAATTTAAAGGCCTTTCCACAATGACCTATAGGAAGTAAAAGAAAGGAGAAAGAGGAAGAGAAAGAGGGAGACAGATGAGGATGAGGATGAAGGAGGAGAAGGATGAAAGAGGAAGAGGCGAAGGAGGAGGAGAGGAGAAGGAGGAGAAGGAGGAAGAAGAGAGGAAGGGAAGAGAGAAATGGATAGGTGGAAGGAAGGAAGGAAGGAAGGAAGGAAGGAAGGAACGAATGAATGAACGAACGAAGGAAAAAGATTCTTACCTGAATAAATATCCTACCCTGATAAACAAGATGTGTTTATTCTTTCTGCATATTTCTGCTAGTTTACCCAACATAATACCTACTAACCTTTTATACTCACAGAAAGTATTAGTGTTACTGCATATTTTCAGTTTCCTATGAAAAGGAATTCTTTTTTTTTATTGTGAAAATACCGTACAGAGGGGTTACAATTACATGAGCAAGGTAATGAGTACATTTCTCTTTTTTTTTTCTTCTATAGTCCTTTTACTTGTGAAAATAAGTACATTAAGACAGAGATTTTTATACCCCATCTAAATTTTAGTTTAGAAAAGGAAATTTCTCATAGCTATTAGTAAAAGCATATTTATTTTGTGAAACAGTGGAAAATCCTTACATTTTCTAAGTCTTTTCATCCCCTCAGCGTCTACATGATGTCCGTTTCAGGACAGCCTTCCCCCAGGACACTAAAACTCACAGACATCCTTGTTCTTTATATAAAGTGATGCACTATTTACATAGGAAATTGTGACCCAGAACCTTGTTTGGTCCTGAAAAGGAATTCTTATGTGCAAAGAAGCAGTGAAAACAGTAGTAAATAAGATAGAAATGGCCTCTAGACACCTGATTCTTTCAACAAATGTTGTCACTCAAAAAGTCCATGGATAGGGCTGGGAAGATGGCTCAGTGGTAGAGCGCTTGCCTTGCATGCCTGAGGCCCTGGGTTCGATTCCTCAGCACCACATAAGCAAAATGAAAAAAGCCGGAAGTGGTGCTGTGGCTCAAGTGGTAGAGTGCTAGCCTTGGGCTGAAGAGCTGAGGGACAGTGCCCAGGCCCAGAGTTCAGACCCCACGACCGGACCCAAAAAAAAAAAAAAGTCCATGGATATAGGCTCAAATACAATGTCAACAAAGGCTTAAAGGTTAAGTACAAGGTACGTGTGAACATATGAACAGATATTCCTACACACCTGGAGGAACCAAGAAAAGCCTCCCTTGGGAGAAGAGAGGCATCTGACCTACACAGAGCTTAAGAAGAAAAGAATACTCTAAACCAGTGGTTCTCAAAATATGGTACCCAGAAAAGCTACCTTGGCATCACCTAAAAATGATCAAATTCTCAGCTACTCTCCTGACCAACTCATTATAGGTTACGAGATAATCATTCAGAATTCTGGATTTCAGAACAGAGAAAAGGTGATCCTGATGAACACCAAAGTTAGAAGACCAAAATCCCAGTCCAAGAGAACAGAATAAATAAAAGGTATGAGACTGGACAGGTTGAGGAGGACTTTATACATACTAGCACCAAAAGGAGGAATGAAACAGAAGCAGTGTAATGTAGGGAAGGGAGTAATTAGAGACAAAGATGAAGAGATAAGAGGGAACATTTTGGTATTTTATCATTTTAGCCTAAATAAAACAGAAAGCCACTGAGAGTTAATGTGAAGGAATGAATGGCCTGATCACAGTGTGTTTTATAGAGTAGCTTAGGAAGTGTTCTATAAACAACAGTTTAGGAGATGTGTATAATGCAAGTTAGAAGGACTCTCAGTTGTGGAGATGGGAGGGAAGGGATGGTAGGGGGAAAACAAAGGAGGAGGCAACAATGCTTGATAAGAAATGTACTCATTACCTTGCTCATGTGATTGTAACCCCTATGTGCAGTATTTTCACAATAAAAAACTTATTTTTTTTTTAAAAAAGAAAGTGGTGGCTTTGACTCAAAAGGCCAAATGCTGATAGGAGAAGCAGGCAAGCTTGACATGCGTGAAGGAGTAAAACTCCATACAACTTGATTTACTTGTTAACAAGTAGATAGTAAAGAATGAGGCATCAAAAGAATGTTGCCAGGCCAACATGTCATCATTAGCTGGACTATCCCTGTATCTTTTGTGTCCAGCCTTCTTTGAACTCGCAGACTGATCAGAGTGTAGGAAGATACCTATGGTTGAAATCAGACATCTTTGGAATTCACATCAGGCTCAATTGCTCCCCAAAAGCTAATCACTTCCTGAAAACTCCTGACAGTGATGCACTTCACTGATGTGAATATTAGAAGCCTTAGAAGTGACTTATGAAATGGTTGAGTGTCAGGTCAGAGTATTACAGAAGTTCCCCCACTAAACATTCTTCAACTTTTGCTAGTTAAAAAATATCCTTGAATGTACATAATATTGGCTGAAACATAGAAGGAAAAAGATGACAATGGGTGACTTAAAAAACAAAGGATTCTACTACATACTTAAGTTAAAGCAATTTATGTAAACAGTGAATCTTAACCTATGCCATCTCTCCAACACCCCCCTACCCCCACTTTCCTTATTTCCTCAGTTGTGTGGCATAGACAATGCATTCTTGCCTGCATTCTATGCATTTGCCCCCTTCATTCTTGTTCCCCCCTCCTCTTGACCTCACCCCCCCCACCTCACAAATACCCATTTCCTAGTACTCATTTTGTTAGGTTTTGACATAAAACTCAAATGCATAACCTAAAATTCAATCCATAATCTAAAATTAAGAAAAGTGAGAGAAAGGGTAGGGTAGAAAGGGTGGGTGAGAATGTTAAAAGGGGATTTATACAGAGGTACTGTATTCATAAACAGCTCTGTTAAATGGCAACTCCTTTGAACTATGACCTAAAGAAAATAAAAATACATTAAAAATAAATACAAATAAAAATAAAGGAACAAAAATATTGTATCTGCATGTCAAAATGGATGAAAGGGACTTGGCACAAAAGACGGACAGTCAGTGCCTGCCCTCCAGTGCCTTTGCTTTTCAGCCATGCTGTCAGGAAAAGACCTATAGTCTAGGTCCTGCCCAGGAAGACCAGAAGGGCTCACTGTAGCTGCTCTTCCAAGCCTTGCCAATGACAGGGCATCTGAAGCACCAGGGAGTGGTAAATTTGGATTGCCCCCGGGACGTGGCCAAAAGAAATCTGATGGAAAAATCATCATGTCTCCAGGAAGGTTGACAAAATGATGGAAAATCCCAGATTGTTGTAAAAAAAAAAAATAAGGAGGGGGGGGGGGAGTGTGAATTACATAATACCCAGCTCTTCAAACAATGGAGTAATCATCAAATGAGTCACTTATGAAACCCATTAATGCTCCCCGTTTGTCCCTACTCTACCAGTCCAAGAACAGCTAAGTGGCAGGTCCAGAAATGTCTCCCCTGTAAAGCGGAAGTCAATTTAACTAGAGAAAGGGACTTTTTAGTTCACTAGGGAGTATTGGTTCTGAGAAGGGAAAATCGCAGCAACCCCAGCTCCTCGCACAAGTCAATCAACAAATATTTTATGAATTAAATTTTTCCAAATTTCAATCAACTTTCCTTCCTTTCACCCCCATCCAACATAAATTGATGAGCTTGATCTGTGTGTGTGTGTGTGTGTGTGTGTGTGTGTGTGTGTGTGTGTGTGTGTGTGTTCCCCTGCTTTAGATTTATGAACTCGATGAAAGAACTTCACTGGTGGCGGAAATTGGATAGAGCAACACATGGAAAAATGCAAACCAGGCCTAATGAAGAGGCAGTAGTCTCACTGAAAACTGAAATTGAAGGATGAGAACTGTCTGGGAGACCCAGGTGTCTCCTAAACATGAAAACTTTGGCAGTGGGGTAGCAGTTTGAAGTAAATGTCACGGAGGACAGCTAAAAACCTCAGTCTAAATCCTCTCACGCCTTATACTCCGTTAATATGGTCTTGTCAGAAGCAGATACTTCTATTGGAAACTACAAGTTTCTACTTCCGGTTTGGGACACAGCACTTCCGGCTTGTTCCCTCTGAGGGAAACAGTTGGGATTACTTTCACCTATGCACCTCAATGCCATCTCCAGTAGTCTAGTCCACAGGCAGTCAGCTGCAGCTGCACAGAGGCCTGGAGGTGAACGCCTGCCTGGTGTTATCCTTCTGGTTGTGGGAGGTTCAAGTGCTGGCGACCCTGAGGGAGGGCTCCCAGCCCAGCTGAAGGAAACTATCTCCACACATTTGAGACACCTGGTCTCCAGCAGCTGTCATACTATTGCCTTTGGACCCAAAGAAAGCAAAGTCAAGAGCTATGCACCCATTACTTTTTTCCTTCTTTTGGGTTTGAACATGGGGCCTTGTGCTCTTGCTTCGCTTTTTCTGCTCCATGCTTAAGCTCTACCACTTGAGTCATACCTCTACCTTGGCCTTTTTGCTGATCAACTGGAAATAAGAGTCTTAAAATCTGTCTGTCCTGGCTGACTTCAGGCCGAGATCTTCAGATCTCAGCCTCCTGAGAAGCTAGGATTAGAGGAGTAAACCACCAGTGCCCTGGTTTTTTGTTTATATTTATAAAGTGTGGAATTGGGGTTTCATAAAAAAATATTCTCCTTCTATCTTTAAGTGAACAATTGCATTTTTCAGTTGTGTGGGCACTACACTTAAATGATGATGAATAATCACAACCCAAAGTGGACATTAATACAAAATACTATTACATAAAATACTAGGGCAATAAGTCCTTCTACATTGTCTGCATGGTTATAACAGTTCTGCTAATTACCCAGTTGATATTGATAATAGTGAAATCATTATAAAAGCAAAGAATCTTAAGATTTAACCCAAACAGACAAATTTCTCATTCTTAATATATTTTAC